CCTTGTCTTGTGGTGCAACTTCTCGTGACCACCACCACCACTACCACCACCATCAACAGCAGCAGCAATGCTACCAATCGTGCTTGATTACCATTACGCTCACAAGACGACACAGTTGGATTTGTGCCTTTTAGAACCACAACACCCAACACTCATCATTTTTGTCCATCCAAACTCGTGTTCTATTTTACAACCAGACGACAATAACAACAAACTCTCTCAACAATCTCTTGACCTTTGGAACAGCTGCTAATTATTTTTCATCGACTTACAATTCCCCTGAGACGAAGTACTTTCTCACTCATCCATCACGCACCTTCGTTTTCTCCTCTTTATCTCTAGAGAATTCGACCTTGTGAGGCAGTGTAATTCTGCCATGAAAAGCCGGCTTTTATGTAAAGTACATTAGACGCGCTATTTAATCGGCATTCAAGTGCAAAGAAGTAGAAGAAGAAGAAAGGACAACATTTTTTGTCAGCTGCCCAACTCTCAGATTCCGAGTTGTCTTGCGCAAAGCCAGCAGCAGGCGGCTCGCCGACTCAGCTGTACCTACAACCTCGAGGAGCACGCTGTACAGCTGCGACTGCTGTACAGGTACACCACTGCCGCACCAGCAGCGCTGACATTTCCATCTGCGTCTACATCCGCCGCTGCTACTGCTGTTCCATCACATACACACACGGATTCACTCTCTTACAGTGAAGAAAAGAGTGTTCTACTTCGTCGGCGTCTCTACCCTTTCGAAGCTGTTGTTGTGCTGCTGTCTTCTATTTATTATTTCTTCATCATTGTACCGCCAACCATAAGCCATCATTTCCCCTCTCATCATCTTTCTTTCCACTCGTCACTCATCACCGTCTTCTTCACTCCTTCAGCACTGCGCAAATCGATTGCCACAACAGAAACCTGTTTTTAGATCCTCTCAACAACAACAACAACTGCCCAGATCGTTATTTCGACTTCTTTTTTTTGGTGCCCCCATTACCTGCCTTGTCTGCACTAGATTGTCCTCTCCTGGTGTCCTACTAAACAACAAGTGTGCGTGGTACCGCTGCTCTCATTACCGTTCACCAAGTGAAGCAGGCCAGGTAGGCAAAAGTGTTCATTCAAAAATAGTGCTTGGTAACTAATGTAGTGCAACTTTTCATTTCAGCCCATTGCAGCCATATCGACTACTTTTCACTATCATCTCACCGGTCTGCTGCTCATCTGCGCCATTTAACGCGGCCACTGCTCTTGAAACACTAACCAGTGCACACTAGCGTCAGCGAAAAAAAAGTTTAGCAATTGCACTGACGGGACTCGGTTGCACTGGTTGAACTGACTAACTGACGCCAGCAACAGCAGCATCATCATCACCATCACCAGTGATTTGTGTGATACGAACGACATGTGCACTTGTCGACGTCAGTGATATCATCATCACACTGCGACCGAAGCTCTCGAAGCACTACTACCAGGCAAAAGCAGTAGTGAGCACCGGTAACAGACGCTTTCTGCCCAGTCGAATGGAAACAGCGAAAGTATTGACCTGTACTCAGAGCAACGACAAAGGCGAAAGAGAGGCAAAATTGCGCCAAAAAACAATGCGACACTTTCTGGTGCCACAGACGACCAGTAGCAGCAATCACAGCGCATCTCATTCCAGCCTTGGTGATGAAGCTAGGCACAACTCTTCGAAAATTAGCAATTGTAGAAGAAGCAGTGTCCCATCACTTTACAGCCACTATCATCTCATTCAGCAAAGGAGGCATCTCCGTACTGATGAGCACTTGAGGCACTCCTACCGAAGAAGCACCTCCGAAGATGAACCTTTTGTCTGTGATCAACCCGAGGCACCGCCAGGTGTACCACCACCGGGAAAACTCTCCACTTCATCGAGCTTCGGCCTTTGGTTTCCCACTGTGCAGGCGGCCTCACCGACGACCCCCTCTGCCGCCACTTCAACTTTGCCCAACATTTTCACTTCCGGGTCTGCAACGGGGGCAAAGGAAACTGGTCGACCGGTGACACCAACTTCAGCTTCAGCATCAACAAACAGGGCGAGCAGTAGCAGCAGCAGTGGTAGCGGACAGGCGTCTGCGCACTGTCTGGCTGCTGCTACTTCAACGGCTAGTTCAGTGTTTACTTCTGCACTGCAATCGCCTTCTGCTTCCTCTGCAGCAGCCACCTCTGCTCGCGTCAATCTAATGTCGAACTCGGGCGCCTCAGTGACGACGATTCAGCAGCATCAGCAGCCGCCGCAGAGTGTAAATTCCTTTCTGCTCTCGCTCTCGCGTCTGGCCGCCTCGGCGCAACCCTTCACGCCCACTCCAGCCCCGGCCACAATCAAACTGATCAATAGCATTCACCACAATCACAACCACGGCTACAACAGCAGCAGTAGTAGTGGTGGTGGTGTAAGCAGTACAGGTGCACCTACCATCAACAACGGCGGCAGCAGCACCTTCTTCGGGCAGGCGTCGTTTGAGGAATCTTCAGCGTTGAAAACGGCGACGACGACGGCGGCCTCCTTTGAGCAGCAGTGCTCGGCAGCAGCCCGTCCGAGGCCAGCAGCAGCAGAGTCAGCAACGGCTGAGCACCATCAGCAACAGCAACAACAACAGCACCACCACCACCAAGTTCCTCGATATCCGCATCGGCATACGTCGATCTATGACTCTTTCGACCAGCAGGCGCAAACTTCTAGCACATACCACCACCACCAACAACAACAGCAGCAGCACCAGTACCACCACCATCTACAGCCAAGACATCACCATCAGTCACCTTCTTCCACCACCGCCAGCAGCATTGGCTTTCACCCCAGCTTGGTGCAGCAGCAGCCACAACAACAGCAACAGCAGCATTCATCAGTTCATCTGCAACCGGTGAATACAACAACAACCAACAACAGCGGCCACCACCACCGCCACCAGAACCGCAGTCACGTCAGTCAGCAGCTGCAGTTACCGCAGTTGCCCCTTCACTTTTCCCTCATCCACCACCAGTTTAATCATTTGACGCTGGCGGAGAAGGAGCGTTTCGAGCGGCTGTTCCGGGAGATTGACATCAACGGCAATGGCTTCATCGATTTCAACGACCTAGTGCACACGCTAGAGGCGAAGGGAATCAGAGCCACGCATGATAATGTCAAGGTTAGTGCCCACTTCAACCATCATCATCATCAACAAAACAACTCTTTTTCCTTGTGCTCTCTAAAAGTGTAGTGCTTTAGTGTGTGTGAGTGAGTGTGACTGATGTTGATCTAAAAATACCCCTCAGCAGAAGTTTGTCCAGACGATGGTTGTACAGTTTGGGTGGGATGTCTACAGCTACATGGATGCACCGTGTGATAACTCAGCAGCCTGGCTCATTATCTCCTCAATTATTTCATGATGCACCCGAGCAGCAGCAGCCATTTGGTCATTTCCTTACAGTAGAGTAGTCCTAGTGAGCTGATTCGAGATGTGCAATTGCTGTTGTAGAAGTTCATGCTTTGCATTGCTCAAATTTTCCCTCTCACTCTTTTACACGCCCTACTCTGCTCTTTGATTGACATTTTTTATTGTCTTTGCTCCGCTACGATTTCCAAAGATGCGCTTTATCGCCTCCAGTTCGGGTTTACAGTGCGTGTTTACAGTGTTTGTGATGCTGAACTCACAGTCGTAGTCGTAAAACACACACCGTTTCTGCTGCTGCTCACTCGTTCACAAAAAGGCATTGCTTGTGGGTGACGTCATGCACTGGATATGCACGAGTAGAGCTTAGATGCTGGCAATTCAACAATTCTTTGCAGTGAGGAGGAAGAGGAGGAGGAGGCTCGTGATTGTACAGTTTACCAACCAGTGAAGAGCCAGCCATCAACAGCAGTTGATGTCTGCTGCTGTTGCTGCTTTGATGTGTCATGATAAAAGAAACTGTGGGGAGAGAAGACGTGATTGTTGCAGACCGGCAGATGTAGCGATTACGTGACATGTAATACCGTCTGTCCTTGGACGACATGACACCAAAGTTGCTACTGTATTTGTTGTTGTTTATGATGTTTACTAATCACTGCTCTTTATCTTCTTCCCCACCCTCAGCATCTCATTGACCGGTCAGACCGGAACGCCGATGGCGACATTGACTTTGCGGAGTTTGTCACCTACTGCCTGGAGAATGAGAAGAAGCTGCACGTGCTCTTCAAGGACATTGACCTCAACGACGACGGGAAGATCGACGAGTCGGAGCTGGTGCACGCCTTTGAGCGGGCCGGCGTCGAGGTGGACCAGGCGGAGGTGCTCAAGCTGGTGCACCGCATCAAGGAGAAGAATGATCTGCTGAAGAATGGCGAGGCGCTGGAGCTCAACTTTGAGGAGTTTCGCGACTACCTCCTCCTCCACCCCACCGACTCGCTGCAAGACTTGATGAAGTCCTGGAGGCATGGAACGGTCAGTGGAAAGAGAGAGAGGTAGTTGTGATTGGGACTTTTGACTAATTTTTGCTGGTTTTTTCGTTTCAGTTCGTCGACCTGGGCGAGGACGGCCTGATGCCGGTGGACTTTAGTGAGAATGAAATCAGATCAGGCATGTGGTGGAGACACTTGATTGCCGGCGGAGTGGCCGGGGCTGTCTCGCGGACGGCTACTGCACCTCTTGACAGACTGAAGGTTTTTCTTCAGGTACGTTTTACCGCTTATTGTTTTGTCATTGTAGAGTCAACTCATCTTTTAATTTATTTTCTGCTCTGTAGGTCAGAGGAGCCGAGTTCAACGGTCTGGGCATCTGTTTGCGGCACATGATCGCCGAGGGTGGCGTTATCTCGCTGTGGCGTGGCAACGGCATCAACGTTCTCAAGATTGCCCCCGAGACGGCGATCAAGTTTATGGCCTTTGATCAGGTAAATAGAGAGGAGCTCTTTTTGTTTGGAAGTGTTGTCTCACTCCCTCCTCAACCCAAAAAACAGATGAAGCGGTGGATCCACTCGAGCAAATCAGCGGGCGATGACATCACGGTGATGGAGCGCTTTCTGGCCGGCTCCGCCGCCGGCGCCATCTCCCAGACTGTGATATACCCGATGGAGGTGCTGAAGACGCGCTTCTGTCTGCGCTCCACCGGACAGTACTCCGGCCTGATGGACGCCGCGAGGAAGATCAACGCACAGGGCGGCCTGCGCAACTTTTACCGCGGCTACGTGCCCAACCTCCTCGGCATCATCCCCTACGCCGGCATTGACCTGACCATCTACGAGGTAATGCAAAAAGGCTCCTTTATATAAACACTAATTTCATTTTTTTTCTTTTTGCAGACACTAAAGAAGACCTACCTGCTGCACCACAGCATGGAGGAGGCGCCCATCTTCGTGTGTCTCGCCTGCGGCACCATCAGCTCCACCTTTGGGCAGATTGCCAGCTACCCGCTGGCGCTGGTGCGGACGCGCATGCAGTCAGAGCTGGGCTACCACCGCAGCTCCATGTACGGCATGTTTCGCAGCATCTACGCAAAGGAGGGCCCCAAGGGCCTGTACCGCGGCATCACCGCCAACATCATGAAGGTGGCGCCCGCGGTCAGCATCAGCTACGTCGTCTACGAGTACACCCGGCGGCCGCTGGGGGCGATTATGTCGTAGTCAACATCATCATCTTCTTGATAGCTAAGAGAGCAAAACCGGCTACAAAACCTGAATAAATGAAGCCACCAACACTAGCCAACCACTGAACACACAGCGCGCTTTTCTCTTCAAATTGCTCACTCATCTCCTCAAATCGTGTGAACCAAAACACACACACTCTGGTACAACACTGTTATCACCACCACCACTACCACCAGCACCACTACAACCACTGCTCTATCCCTTCCCCTCCCCTCTTCTTCCCCTCCCTTACCGACTAAGTCATACCTAGCTCTCTCCCTTTCTAGTAATTAGTAATTTAGTAATTTAATTAATTTAATCCAATTTATAATATTATTGCGCTGTCTCTTTCTATCTTTCTCTTACGCTGTATTCACTTGCTCTCTCACTGGCATCGCCTTTCTCTTTGCCCCCTTTCGGCCCACCTTCTCCATGCCAAACTTATCTTTGGTTTTGGGGGCGATTTTACACTTTTGTTCTCTCTCGCTCTCTTATTCAATGTTTTTCTCCTCCTCCCCTTTAACCAATTAAGTCTGTGTGATTATCATCCTTCTCTCTCTCATTTAGAGAATCTCGAACAACCGTTTTTGTTGCCCCATCTCCCTCTTGTGAATCAAGAATTATTATCACTCCCTATTTTTTGTTTGTTACTATTTAGGGACAACACAAACAGCGACACACATTGTTCACTGTCAAATTGTGTGATTCATTCTGCTTGAGTGTTTACTACAGTGTTTTCTGTTTTCGGCGTGTGTGATACTGCTGATTTCCTTTTTGTTTTTCCATCCCTTTTCTTTCTTTCTTTCTTTCCCTTTTTTCATTTCGGTCACACTGATGTTGTTGTTGTTGTGGCACTGTGTTACCCCCTCCTCCTCCTCCTCCTTCCCTTTTTTTCTGGTAGTGCTTTTGTACCAAACACACACGCCCACTCAAACACACAATCTTGCATGCAACCAACATTGTTCTTTCAATCTTCACAAGACAATTGTTTTGTCTTGTTTACCGATTTCTCTAATCTCCTCTTCTTCTTTTCTTTTCTTTTTTAATTTGGCCACTACCCATTTTATTTTTCTATACTGTTACTTCTTTAAACTGCAAAATGACAACAAGTAAACGATTCTGATTTCTTCTCTGACTGACGCTTTTTTGTTTTTTGTCAGCTTTGTCTGGAAACCGTTCCGCAATTTCAATCAGTCCCTCATTCAGAAAAACAGGAAACTAATCTTTCAAGGTATGTTTCATCAGCACTGTGTGTGCCATCTATTTGCATTTTTACTGTGAAGTTTCCGCCTCTATACAGCGGTTTCAAATGCACAATTTTCAACTGGCAGCATTCCTTTCATTTGAGCATTTCAGCGGACAATTAATTCAATTAGGGGACACGCAGAGAGCGATTCGATTAGCTATGCAGCACTGTTTTCCTGCGCCGGTGTGTCTGTCTGTCTGCGTTTGTCTACGTTTGTACGACGCAGCAATTTCTGTACGGCAGATTGCTCGTCCACTACTTTCTCTTCTTCTTTTTTTCCTTCTTGTCCTGCCCTGTTCAAATGCAAATCTCCCGCCGACTAAATCAAAATTGACACCCTCTCTAATTGAATTCAGCTAGGCGCAGTGCTTATTATCGCGCAGCAGCAGCACCAGCAGCAGCACCCAGCACAGATTTCCGTCGGCGAGACATCGACGGTGACGACCGCCGACCAGCGACCGTCGCCACAATTGGCATTGCATTCCAATTTAATTATCCAAGACCACCACCACCACTACCACTACCAGCAGCCATTGTTGCTCCTCTCTCCTTCTTCTTTTTCCCTCACTTTGATGATGACACTTTGCTTTCACGCTGATTACCGCTGTGTGAAAGAGGAAAAAGGAAGAAGAAAAAGAGACTGTCGCCTTCTCCTACAATGTTTGCCCTGATTGACAGTGGCTGTGGAAGTGTGCGGCTTTGTCTTACAACGGCCGTCTTTTCGCTTTCTTTCTCTTGCAGCATTTTTTCTTTTCCCCTCATTCTTATCTTATCGTGAATTCCCGAATTCTCGTGAGCCTGCAGACAAACGGACAGGCGGATGGACACATTCCTCCTTCTTTTCACTCACACATTTATCGCTTTAAGATAGCTTAATTTATAATTTATACACTTCTCAGGAATTGATTAACGAAAAGCTGAGCTGAGCGAGCATGAATCTTTGCACTGTCTTTGAACTGCGTGCTGAGCTTTATTCACACAAAATTACGCGAATTAATGAACAATCTTTTAATCAGAAATAGAATTGGAATTCTGGTGAATGGTGAATGAGAGAGAGAAAG